AGTTTCCATAAATGCAAAAAAAATTGTTGGTTTCATTATAACCTCTGCTTCGGTGCAGAAAAATTACCTGCAACTCTAAATAGCAATCTACATATACTAGGGTGGATAAGTGTGCTCAGACCCCTCTTTCCAGAGTGCTGAGAAATTCACTGTTTTATCAAAATATACATAAGTACTCTTGAGAAATAACTTCTAGTTCACTCAATTATAATCACCACTCTTAGAACAAATGGGCTATTAAAAGTGCAATTTTGAAAACGAATTATTAATTCTACACATTTAGTATAAGAAATACTCATATTACAACCCATGTGTTTTAAACCCATGTGTAATACCTGTTATACTTGACACAGTACAAGCTATTTATGGAAATATCTGGTAGGTTACTATTCCTTCATTTCTAAATATTCAATATTACCCATTACAATTACTACCAATTTTTTAATCTGAAAACATACAGTGTTTTGAAGCCAATAATGGGGTTTTGGTGAGAGTTTGTGAACATGTGAATTTAACTACTGTTTTCGCCCTTTATTCGATCAGTATTCATTAAAACTGAACTAACACAATAAAGTTTTATCCATTATTCCCATAACTCTGAATGAACAAAATTACAAATCTACCTAGTTGACTACAACACTATTGACTATTCGTGGTTTTGTTCATGACTCAAAGATATTCACAGTTTTTCTTATTCTTAATGTCCAGCTGACCTAACAAAGATGTTTCATCTTTGAGAAAGCATTTCTAGAAATGAGAGGGATGACATTATTATTGTGCTTCTGTCTCTTTAACAAAACTCTTCTATCAGGCAGGCTTTTAGAAAGCACTACATTACTTAAAGTTATTGTTAGAGGTGAAAAAGAATCTAAACTAAGTTCCATAACCCACAGTAACAAAGAATACATCTGCAATTTAGTAATCTTAACATCTGAAAAAAATTAAGTTATTGTAGAGTATGTTTATGACAGACAAAATTTTTTAATTTCTTAATTAAGCTGTTAGAGATTTTTTTCAAAAATACGGGATCCTTTTCAAGTCAGGACCCTACCACTGTTGATGTTTTAGTATTTAAACTAGCTGAGCTTTAAACAAAAGCAGATGAATAAGTAATGTGAACTCTGAAAAGCCCTTGTTTTTGCCTTTTTTGTTGTTTGTTTTGCTCTTTAAAAAAAAAAAGGCACTGCATATCTTTGGGGAATTAACACAGACTTTATTTTCAGATTTAGGATAGTGAGCTTACTAGATTTTAAGTGAAATATTGAGTGCTACAGGGATTTAATGGTTTAAACCATAGATGTCATTGTGGTCTGAGGGTGTCACAGACAACGTAAGGAGGAAAAAAAATGGGGCACAGAGAAATCACTTTGTCAGTAATTACAATCAAGAGTCCTAAACCATGGCTCAGGCTGCTCATTACTTCTTCCTTCTGTATCAAGACCCTTATTTACATTTCAGATTACATTTTTTATGAAACAGTAAGATCTATCAGAGCTGAGAGAACTGAAATAATGAGGGAAAACATTTTAATAAAACGTGTTGGGTCTGCGTTACTTCCGTGACAGAAAGAAAGGTTTCCTCTGTAGTGACAGATCATTTATTCTGCTTCTAAACGAGAAGCAGAAAGATGAAACTGATGAACTTTTACTGCCCATTTGTCTTTAGCAGACAATTAAGACAGAGAAGATCAAAATGGATTATCATACCACGCAGACAACTGGCCCAACAGTAATACATCTCCGGGACCACAGATTTGTAACTCTCTTTTATCCCTCCCCTTTCTTCTTACTTCTTTCTCCACTCTAAAGGCAGTGCTAGCTTTGTGGCTCAAGGAGAGCCAAAAGGCTGGTCATCATTATTCAGTCACAGATGTCAATCTAACCTCCCTTTTTTCTCAGTTTCTAAAGCAGTGAGGCACAATAATTTGTGACAGATTCTTTTACTGTAAGGTACAAAGAACACACAGAATAAAACATCTAGCAGCAGCAAGCGTCTCTGATCAAGAGTGCTGGTACATGGGAAATACACTACATGTAAAAACAAGCACCAGTAGTTTAGGCGAGTAAGGAGGGGAAACTGTGTATGTGTGTGTGTTTGTGTGTGTGTGTGTGTGTGTGTGTTCACACCCATGCAGTAATAAGTGCTATATTGGATGGAATATCTTAAATATTCCTTAAGGATCACATCATAAATGTTTTAATATTTGAAATGTTGTACTTAAAGTTTACATGTAATAGAAATATTTCTAGGGCTTTTTTTGTAATGGTGTACTGAGGAGAAAGGTAATTTGGTTTATTCAAACAAATGTTAAGGTGAAAAAACACAAAATCAGAATATAAGTGTTTTTCAATGACAAGTACTCTTCATCACCTTTACCAGTAGAGATAGTTCTCAAATTTGGGGGAAGTTGGAAATAATATCTTTTAAAATCAAGCAGATTAATCACACCTCATTTCTTAAGTTGTTTGTGGCCAAGAAGGGAAATTGTGTATCTCAAGTTGAAGGAGATGCTAAATAAGACAGCAACGTGCACATTTGTCTAAGTAAACCTCTAGCCACCAGTATGATTCTTCACATTTGAACACTATGGCACTCGTCCAAACAAACAAAAAGCCCTAAATATCTTTATCTTTGTCCTTTAAAAAAACAAGCTTATTATTTTATAAACAACTGCTGGAATTCTGATCATTCCAACTTCAACGTATGAAATGCTTCTAAGGTCATCCACTGACAAAGGTAAAGAACTACATTCACAACATAGTAAAAGCAACATTGATAAACTGGGCTCTACATGCAATGACAGGAGAAAGCAGTCTATGTTTCTCTCTGGACACATATACACATGTAATAGTACTTGTATGCACATATACCTTCCTCAAACATGTGACCATGCATATGTACTTAGGAGAAATAAACATGGAACGATAAAACATCAGATCGTTCCAGTAGTTATTTCAGAGTAGGAAGATATCAGAATGATTTATATATTCTTTCTAGTTTTCAAATTTAATTGGGGGGGGGTCTTTTTGAGACAGGGTCTCCCTGTAGCCACAGCTTACCTGGAACTCACTATGTAGACCAGACTAGCCTTGAACTCACAGAGATCCGCCTGCCTCTGCCTTCCAAGTGCTGGAATTAAAGTTGGTTTTGCTTTACCTGTATTTTCTACATTTTGCTTATGGGCATATTATACTTAAAAAAAAAAAACATACTGTTCAATTTTTTTAAGAAATAGTAAGAAACTATGCTTTAAAGGAATAGACCCAGATGGTAGCTTTTCTATTTTAAAGTTTTCTCCTACAAAATTTTCTCACACTGGATAATTCAGATCATAGGATCACAAAGGTTATTTACCTAGATACTAGACTTTAGAACAGTAATTTTTGTAGGAGTTATGACCTTAAGTGAATCACACACAATGGTTTTTCATCCTTTAGATTTTTAAAATATTTTATATATTATTTTATGTGTATGAGTGTATTGCCTGCCTACATGTGTGTAAGTGTACCGGTGTCCTGCAACACCCACAGAGGCAGAAGAGAGTGTCAGATCCCCTGGAACTGGAGTTACGGGTGGCTATAAGCCAAAATGTGAGTGCTGGGAATCGAACCCAGGTCATCTGAAAGGGCAGCTAGTGCTCTTAACCACTGAGCCATCTCTCTAGCCCCTCTTTAGATGAGTTTTAAAGAAAGATGACTTTGTTTTTTTAAAAAAATCTTTGGGTTTTATTATTTAGTTAAAAGAACTTATTTCATAGTAACTTAAAACAAGATAGAAATTTAACTCTACTGATAGAAGATGAAGCAAAGGTGAGTTTTAATTTATTTTTTAAATCTTATTTTAATCTTGTGGTAAGACACAAAGCAAACCACACCAGTTCTCTCGCGTTCTTATATCCTAAAATCTCATTACAAAGCAAATCATTATACTGATTGTCCAGTTGTATTCCTGATCACACTGTGACCCCCATATTTAAAAGTATCAGTTATGAATAACTTGCTCACTCTCTTTCTGACAGGTCACAATGCAAACATGTTGCTACTGTTCTGGACATTTCTATTCCATTATATTTATTCTCACTTAAGGACTTTAAACAGAAAACATTGAATGAATGCTTCAGGAATATGCTTTGTGCACAACAGCCCATGTGTGGAAAAGCTTTATAAAGTTGTCTTACTTGGTGTAATTAAAGATGCTTTTCCTTTCATGTTTAAAAAGTGTACCAAAGTGCATATTTGAACTAAAAAATGGAACGAGTCAAATAAAACTATCAAGCTTCTTCAGTTATTTCTCAAGATATGAAATAGACTTCTGAATGTATAACCTGGAACAAAGTATAAAGAGCAACACGAGAACTTCAGCACTGCTTTGTAAGGGCAACAGTGCCTGCCACCCACTCCTTGTTTGCAGGGTGCTGAAATCTGGGTGGTGGAACTGTCCAGCCTTAGCTTTCACTTGCATCATCAGAACCACCTTCTCCCTGTGTGTGGACCTCCTTCTTCCAGTATCAATACAACAGAGAGTATCATCATCTACTGCAAAATCCACGAAATATAAACTTCTCTCTCTCTCTCTCTCTTTCTCTCTCTCTCTCTCTCTCTCTCTCTCT